TACATATACATATATATACATATACATATACTTATAAAAGAACATATATATTATATATATATATAGATATATATATATATTACATATACATATACATATATATATTTACATGTAGAAATACTTATAAATATATATATATATATATATATTATGTATATATATATATATTTCCATACCATTGACAAAGCCACACACCCATCCGCGCGCACATACACTTACACACACTCATACACGTACCAATTGCTTCCCCGGAGTTGGGTTTGGTGCTGAGGATGCCACTCCATTGCGTTGCGAGTGCGAGATGTTCGGTCCTGTTGCGGTCAATTCTGTTGAGAATTGTTGGAGTCGTTTGCCCCTCGGCCGTGTGCAGTGTGTGCACTATGGTTTGGTCGTCCACCACTTGCTGTACGTTTTCAATATGTTTTCAGTATCATGGGAGATGAGAAAGCTTGGATACACACCAGCGAACATACTATACAAATCGAGTATATGGAAATGCATATTAGAAAGACACCTACAGAAAAACTCTATACTCATTAAGCACATGTACGTACATACTCAAAAGTAACACACTCATGCCTCTTTACACACCAGCAAACATACTATACAAAGGGACTATACAGACATACATACACACCTACATATACTCTATACCTACGAAGCATATGTACGTACGTATGTTAAGGTACAACACTCTAGTCTCTATACAGATCCAGCTTATGGATATATGTATACAAGTATACTACGAACATACTATAAAGTTTGACACTTGCAAACATAAATGCCTTCACCAGGTACACATGATCCGAGAAGGAGTGGACAGTGTAATATTATTAGACACCTACATACCTTATACTTTGTCTGCGATGAGGCTAGTTATCACTAACACACGCTCGAAGGGAACGTTTATACTCGTAAAACACTGGTATACGAAGAGTCTGTTTTACACATGCTCTTTATCATATTGATGTCTTTAGAGATACATATATACATACATATATACCTACATACATACATACATACATACATACATGCATACATACATACATACATACATACACACATACATACATACATACATACATACAAACATATATACATACTTACATACATACATACATACATCCACCCATACATACACACGCACACACATACATACATACACAACACACACATACACACATACACACATACGCACGCGTATACCTACCTGCACCAGCCACACATGTGCTGAGAGAGGGTGGACAGAGTGTGCCTTGAACGGCAACTGTAAACCATGCACAGTATTTGTGGAGAAGTCAAACACAGTGGGTGTGCTGTTGCCCTGGCGATGGAGCACTACTCGGTTCATATCCCCGCCACACGCCTTGATCTCAATCGGACCTGAAAAATTAGAAAATGGACCGGTCCAATTTTTATTTGGGGAAGGTCCCGAGCTTGTGTATACGTCGCTCAAGTTCAGTAGCAGTATGCAATGCGTGTCTGTGGTAGCAACTTAGGGCAAGTTGTGTGGGTCTGATATCGGCATGCTCCGATATTAACTTCCCAGCACACACCCTGAGCTTGGACGGGCCAAAAATAATTGTAACTAAAATAATTGTACCTGAAATAATTGTACCTGAAATAATTGTACCTAAAATAATTAAACCTATAATAATTGTACCTGAAATAATTGTACCTAAAATAATTGTACCTAAAATAATTGTACCGGTACAATTGTCGGGCACAAGACACGAATGTGAGAGGTTTAGTAGCAGAGCTAGTACCAGCATGCAACAGCCAACAGCGTATAAGGTGTGTGCTATACGCAGCTACTACGAATGTGCTACTATATAGGTCAATGGACTCTTACCGATTTAGAGTGTTGGTTTTTGGGTTTTATGGTTTGAAACACTGCGCAAGCACCGAGTGTACGCCTATGGCTTCTCGAGGCCTTATGTAACAGTTAACACTTAAACTAATATATGATGCATAACCAACTGACATATATATTCTTTACGTTTTTCTCTACGGTTTCTACCTACCTTTGTTCGTTTTCGGCTTGGTCCGGCGTGCGCCAAAGATACTACTCACTGCGTTTTCGTCTTCGGATACGTTTTCCACAATATCATCTTTCATGTGTTCGCTCAATCGAACCACCCGCAACTGTCGCGTTGCCGTATCGATAATGGCCATTGTATCAGAATGGCTGGCAAGCACCACAACGGTGCTCTTCTTAGCACCTATGTATAAGAATCAACTGTC